TTATGCGCGCGGTAGATCTTACTGGAACCAGACCAATTACAATAACACATACACTTTATTAGAAATAGACATGAAGACTCAAGATGCCCAAGCTGGGCTATAACGCGGTCAGTGCTGTCAAAAAACGCCTATCAGAAATTGCTTTGAAGCCCCGCGATGGACAAGGGTAGCGATCCTAGGTCTCCATGCAGGACTTCTTCGTTAAGCCGTACGAACTGAACGCTTGAACAATCACAAATATGAAGCAGTGCAAAAAAAGTGATCAAGGTATCAAGAAGTACAGACGTCGGCCTGACGAGACGATGTGTCGCTTCACAAAGTCGAGCGAGTGTCCAGGTTGAGGATGGCCGTTTCTTTTATACACCTGTAATGGAATTTTCATTAGTGTCAAAAGATGGTTTTCTCATCCTTTGATCTGAAAGCAGTGCGCGGAAGTAGCGCTTTACGTTTACAGTTACAATATTTTTCTGAACGTGATCTTAGATTCTTATGGAAATATTCCTGGCGTACTTTTAATGTTTGACTTACGTCAGAACATAACGTCGAAGCATTTGTTGCAAATGTTTCTGAAAAAAGATAAGATCTTTTATTATTTTAAATATGTTCTTCCATTTATTAATTTTAATTTATTTTGAATGTTTTGAGGTTTTATTTCTGAAATAGCTTAGAGCTTCATGTCCTTTACAACTGCTTATTCGATTTTGTTGCTTTGTTTTTGGATTTTGTAGGTAGACATGACGATCGGTAAGTAGTACTGTTGTCACGCAGTAAGTCGAGGATTCAACTTCACCAGTGGGGCACCCAAATTTCTATGATTCGTCCATCCATTCGTTGGTAAATTGGTACTAACATACGTCAGAAACCAAAGCCGCTACTAAGTTGCTTGTAAGCAGCCCCCGGAAAAAGTTACTGTCTGCCCTGCTGGTCAGTGATTGCTGTTGGTATTTGCTGCCAACTGGGCTACTTCCCGGGTGCTTCATTTCTCAGAAAAGCGAATGGTGAGGAAATTTTGACTTCGGCTCTTGAATTTTATTGCCGCATGTGGTTTAAAATCAGCGAAGAATTCCAATTTTCCAGAGCTTTAAGCTTGTCGCATTCACGTAACTGTACATAGTTTGAATCCTTTGATCAAATTCTGGATTGTTCCTGCTTGCGCTTTGTATTGCTTTTACAGGAGGGAAGTGATTATTCGAAAACTGGTAGTTGCTATTTGCCCGAACAATTCAGCGATGGAACTTTGTATTTAAATATTGACGACGGTCGGATTATTTATCGGTATCCAAACAGGATCGTCCTTTGGATGCTAACCAGGGAAGAAATTAAGGTATTTTTAACTTATGAGTTAGTAAAGGAAATTAGTTTTAAACGCTGGACGAAATGATAAGTTAGTTGGACAGCATACCTTTTATTCCCAATCTTCAGCTT